GAGACTGTCCAAGCCGGGGCTCGAACCGGCAACCTTCCGATTACAAGGCGAACTCCCAACTCTTGAGCCACGATCGCCCTGATACTACTGAGTAACTTAAAGAAACATTTTTTAAAAAAAAAGCTAGCTGCCTTTGGTGATGAGGCTGTGGATAAGATTTCAATTCATGCTCTCAGGCAAGGCTGTCATTGGCTCACACCACAGCCTGTGACATTTGTGAAAGTTCAAAGGTGAATGAATGTGCAGGAACCCAGAACTCACATTCAGATGACTCTCCGTGGTAATGTCAGCAGGAAGTCCTTTAGCTTTGTAGCGTCCCTCTGCTACTCTGGTGGTTAAATGCCACAGAGCTCTGTCTAAAACCCAGGCTGGGCGCAGGTGAGGAGAGTTCACCAGGTTGTATCCACATTCTGGATGCTCCCTTATCCACACGCTGTTAGCAGCTGTGCAGGAACACAGACAAGAAACCATTGAGCTGTTTAAATACTTTATTCATCAATGTTTTACTCTTTTTACAGATCTAATAATAGTCTGACAGTGAGTCACACATACTGTATAAATCAGAGTTCAGTCTGTATTTAACCTTCATATCAGGCTCATTTTACTGCTCGACCTTTCCTGAGCGAGGATGAGAGGGATCCACGGGTGGTCACTGCCAGCAGGACTGCACAAACACTTTGATACAACGAGCATATCAAATGAAAAGTCTCGACCTGAAAAAACACTTTCAGAGTAACTGTTAACCAGTTTTGCTATAAGATGTTTTACCAACAACCTAAACCATACCCAGCTAACTTTTTAGTGGTCTTTAAATCTTGACCTGATTCTAAATAGATTTCAAGTGAAAGCCTTGGACAAGGCTACAGCAAGAGTACGGGAGCGTGAGCAAACCTTAACTCTGACAAAGTGTGGCAAAAATGGCACTTTTAAAACTTAGTGTATCGAGTTAACTGCCATGTTGGACACTGTGGCGTGAAGATTTCTCCTGTTTTGGCTTCCCTTCACTGGCTCCCTGTTAAATCCAGAATTCAAAATCCTGCTCCTCACATACAAGGTCTTAAATAATCTTCTGTGCAAACTACAGATGACCAAAATGATCACAAGGACTTTGGTGCAGCAACCTCTTTGCAAACAGTTTCATCCAGCAGCAGCCAGCGACTGGCAGAAACCATCTGCCAACCAGTCAGTCAGATGCATATTCCTGCCTTGCACCTCGTGGTTATAGTGTGTGCTTGAGGTCAGGGAAGAAACCTGTGAGGCTACACTTCCACAGAGGCCGTACTGAGCCCACTATAAGAAAGCAAATGTTTCCAGTCCTCCCCACAGCACAGTGTTCACCTGCTGTGCTTCAAAGGCAACAAAACCAAACGGCTTCTCTTTACTTCCCTTTATGATTGTGAGTCAACAACAATCTTTCCTGTTCTGTCGAACTTCACAGGATAAGGGCAACTATCTGTCTGAAAGTCCTGCCTTTGGGACAGTTTAATGACACTTTCAATCCTTGGAAATGTGCAGACTCTCGGTGAAAGCATGTGTTGTTGTGAAACCTCTCGTACTATAACATGTGGTGGAACAAAGACATGTGATTGCATAAATGTTCAGGCCAAATAAAAGTGAGTGTGTGCAGCATAACAAACCATGAGCTGTAAACAAAGATCACAATAATAGAACGTGTTGCATGTACGCTGAGTGCACACATGTCGACTTCTCCATCCTTAGTCCATAATCGAGTCCATGCATTATGAAAAGTGATGCACAGGATGTTCAGTCAGTGATCGGCTCCATGGACTGGCTCAGGAAGCCTTGTGATTCACTTCCCCTGCTATCCTTTAAGGCAAGAAAACAGTTGCATTTTTGCTCTTTGTTAACCAATTAGCACTCTTCAGTAACATGTTCTGCTGTTGGTGTGCCTAGTTAAGTTAGCTGCTGTGGGTAACTTGAAGCGTTTAACTTGGTTAGTGGTTGGTACGAGCCAACCATGAAATTTCTGAAGGATGTCGCGTCGCTGCAGTCAAAACAATATTTGGTACGTCTGATTGCAAAGCACAGGGTAGAGCGCTTAGAGGGGAGATGTCAGAATCTAAAGACAGCAGTGAACAGCAGCTGTCTCACGTCAGATGCAGGAGGTGGCCTTTGACCTTCGAGGGGAAGGAAGCGGTGTTGCAGTACACTAATGAACGGCCCTCCTCATGGCTCAACTCACCAGTATGGTTATACACCACATCTGTGATGCACAGCATGTCCCACTCTGTCTTTAGCTTCTCCACCAGCCCCCCCACATCTGTCCAGTCGTAGCTGCGACCCGCTGGGCTGAACTCTGGGTTGACGCTCAGCTGGTCAGCTAAGGAGTAGCAGGACCTGGACTCCCCCAGAGTCTGCACTGGAGTGAAGTGGATCATGTTGTATCCTGGAAGACAAACCCACAGACGTACTATTAATCCTTCTATACGGCATTTTGTTTGATAGTCCTGACATGTGATGAATCCCCTCACACACTGCACTGTCCATGTGATGTAGTACCTGCACACACAGGAGGATTGATTCAGAGAGTTTAGGCCGATGACAGGAACCATGGTCGTCAATAACAACCAGAAGTGACTGAGTTTGCATTTTATGATTGAACACAAAAGAAAGAACCAGAGTCCATGTGGGCGTGCCGTGCTAACCTACCCGACTCCTTGGCCACTCTAAGTCTATCTGGCCAGTCGTCCAAGTGTCCCAGACATTTGGACAGGTAGGTCTGGATGGTGATGCAGTCTAACGGCAAAGTATGGTCGTCGGCCCCGACACGGAGAACTGGATCCACCACAATATAACCTCCTCCTATACGCTCCGAGTCTCTGATGGAATTTAACAAAGTACAGCAGGTTAAGGAAATATACAAACGTGTCATATCACAATATGATTGATAGACTGACACCATGTATTTACTTTCTCTAGATAACAACAGTGAGACAAGCGCAGGCTTATCTGAGAGCCACGAGTCCGTTTCAGATGATGATGGAGTACCTAACAGTGAGGAAGAGGAGGTGATACTTGTAGCTGCTGATATGCAACCCAAAAGCAAACAAAGCGTTTAAGCGAGTGTTGCTGGAGCACTTCCTACTTAGAGTCCATGACAGGAGGAGCAGAAAGGTGGATGAAATGACTGATGTGGCTACACGATGGCAACGGAGGGCAAGTGGTTAAAACGCCTGAGCCAAGAAGCCACATCGCTGGGAGAAGTTTCACTTTAAAAATATGATTCCGACTGGGTGACATCACTTTAGATATTTTAATACTTAAAGTGTTAAGCAGTTATCTTACAGTTGTTCTTCATTTGCTGGGAAAAACTCAGTGCAGCGTTTAATACTTGACCATAATATTTTATTACGATATCAGAAAATCCCACAGGTACTGTAGTACTGCAGTGCTTTGAATCATACCCATCTAATAGAGTCCAGTTTGTTAATGTAAACGTGGAGGCTGCTTCATATACAAAGGCTAACTGTGGCTTCCACGGGTTGCTGTGGGCTTTCCTTAGTATTAGGTATAGATACGCGATTCCCACTTTTATCTATCCATGAAGCAAAATAACACACAACACTACTACTTCTAGATTCGACTCTTGTAATTCATCGTTAAAAAAGCCCCCAGTTGATTCACGGTGCTGCAGGATAAGTACTGACAGGGACTACAAACAGCACATTTCTCCTGTATTGGCTTCTCTTCATTGAATGGTAAATGGCCTGCATTTGTATAGCGCTTTTCTAGTCCATAGGACCCCAAAGTGCTTTACACATTCAGTCATTCACCCATTCACACACAGGTGATGGCAGCTACATTGTAGCCACAGCTGCCCTGGGGCGCACTGACAGAGGCGAGGCTGCCGGACACTGGCGCCACCGGGCCCTCTGACCACCACCAATAGGCAAACACGGGGTTAGTATCTTGCCCAAGGATATTTGGCATGCAGCGAGGAGGCAGCCTGGGATCGAACCATCGACCTTCTGATTAGTGGCTGACCTGCTCTGCCACCTGAGCTACAGCCACCCGAATCTAACTTAAAATCCTTCTCACATACAAGGTCTTAAATAATCAGGCCCCATCTTATCTTAATGACCTTGTAGTACCATATCAGCCTATTAGAGCACTTGGCTCTCGCTCTGCAGGCCTACTTGTTGTTCCTAGAGTATTTAAAAGTAGAATGGGAGGCAGAGCCTTCAGTTTTCAGGCCCCTCTTCTGTGGAACCAGCTTCCAATCCTCCCTTAGTTATGCTGCAAGAGGCCTCTCTTGGTGGAACGGAGCTTTGAGTCAGTGAACTGGACCTTTCAAGCACACCTGTTGTTGGTGCCTCTTGGAAGATTTGATATCGACTGCTGAGCGGTACAGAGTTCCACAATTAAAACGATCTGTTAGAATGAATCTGCAGGATGTCTGTGCATTGCACCAGTACACTTTGTGCATGAACCCTGTCGAGTAAACTATACTGGTTAGTACTTGGCACTCCACCCACTGCTCTAAATGTTGTCTGAATATTACTGGATCCTTTCTGGATGGCGTTACACAGAAAAGCTAACTCTGAGGTTTCGAGATGTCAGAAACCATTTGGTGACATCAAAGTGGCGACATCCATTTTTCATTTACATGCTATAGTAAACATGAGGGCAATCCCAAAAGTAAGGTGTCCTATTGTTTTAGAAATACAAGCAATCGTTTATTTTCCATAGTATGTGCAGCATTTTAAAGCTTAAAGACTCATTTTCCTACATAATCGCCATTTCGGTCGATGCGTTTTTGTAGACGCTGTGACAGTTTTACAAAGCCCACGTCATAGCCGCTCGCCGCAGAATCGCCTTCCTGACAAATGTTTCTTTGGGAACAGGTGGTAGTCACTGGGTGCGAAGTCTGGACTGGTGGCTGATGATGTTCCAACCAAAGTTTTGCAGGAGAGCGACAGGTGGACGGGTGACGTGTGGACACGTGGTATAACTGCAAATGAACGGTTCATATGCAGCTCCAGTTAAATAAAGACAATAAATGTAATATTCTTAACATTGTCTCTAAATGTTACAAACCTGAAAGTGCTCAAATTAGTTAAACTCAATTGTATTTATACAGCACCAAATCACAATTACCCCAAGGTGCTTTATATTGTAAGGTCGACCCTACAATAATGCATCCAGAGAAAACCCAACAATCATATGACCCCCTGTGAGCAGCACTTTGGTGACAGTGGGAAGGAAAAACTCCCTTTTAACAGGAAGAAACCTCCAGCAGAACCAGGCTCAGGGAGGGGCGGGGCCATCTGCTGTGGTTGAGGTTGCTGCTCTAGTCTGCATGCCAAATATCCTTGGGCCAGATACAAACCCCAAGTGCTCTGGGAGATTGCTTTCAGCTGGAATATTAATTTATAACCTAAAAAATAGTAATAATTAGTTCCTGGTTTGATTTCCACCTAGCCAGACCTATTCAGCATGTTATTCCGGGACTGGCCGGCATCTCTGACTGACACCTTTATCACGCTGTTTCACAAAGTATTCACTTCTTAAACAATTTATAGAGTTCTACAATATTTTTTAATAAACATGGACAAATGAAGAACAGACTGTCTAACATAAAGACATGCTATCACAGGCTTTAGTGATAGCGTGGATGATTCCAACAAAATGATTTAACTGTTGGAATATTTTCTACTGCCATTTCCTGAATTCAGCTTTGACATTGAAACCCCGGATTTATAAAATGTGGGCGACTGTCAGGAGGGTCTTACACATATCCAAAGTAGTACTGATAGGACCCAGCCAACTTGAGGTCCAGAGAGCAGAACTTATCAGAGTCTTCTTCCTTTCCTGTTGGGTAGGTCCATGGCAAAACACGGAAGTTGTTTCGGTCAAACAGCTGTCCTTCAAGTGGATAGTTGGTGTGCACCATAACCTTCTTTCCCTGAAGGCTTGGACCGAGACGGAACTGCAGCTCAAACCCTGGGCAGACAGAAAAGTACGACACAAACTGAACAAACTTGAATTGTAAGGAAAATTCCACTTTGTCTTCACCCTGTTAAAATGTCACAACTGTTTGTGTCTCAACAAGTCTGAAAAGATTCCCCTCTTGCAGTAATCATTACTGCTACCCACTCACAAGACAATCCCACATCCCTGACACACACACGCACACAGTCATTAGCAGAAAACTGTAGGTCTTGTTGGTCCTCCAGAGTTAGGACAGAGTTTAATTGTCTGTCTATAAATAGTCCCATATGACAGGCAGCCAACAAAATCCTTATCAGATGCAGAGCCCTCTAAATGCCAAGTGGCACATCTCTTCAACCCTTTCAGCCAAGCCGACACGCACACAAACATTTCACGCATGCACAAACGTGCATACACGGTGCATCCCAACAGAAAGGCCACACTGTTTTCTGCACAGCACTCAGCCAGCAGCTGTGCTGACTGCAGAGATGCTCAGAAAACTACAGAGAGCATTTTAGCAAAGTTACACAATGATTTAAATCATTCTGCTGACCACCAATTGACACATTATCGCTGATGTGAATTACAAGTTGACCTGACCTGTGTTTCCCCTCAGACAGCAGTTTCAATGCTCTGACCCCAGGAATACATTTGACTGATTCTCTAGTTTCACACTTCAGAGAACAGAGTCACCAATAACCAGAGTTTGTTCCTGGTGTTTGTGTTGTCAAATGAGGAAAATCAATTTTAACCGTGGACAGGCTGACTGTAGGGCTACAATACCTCCTCAGTTACCTAGCTTGTTTCCCAACTGCGCGGGATGATTTGCTAGGGAACAGCTTATGGTGGCTTATCTACCATTGCCCTCACCTAGCTAGCTGCAGGATTTTTGAGGGCGAGAAGCCAGGTCTCCAATTCACTGAGCTTGGTCTCCAAAGCTGGAAACGCATCTTTAACACTAAATGAGGCTGAGGAATAACTACACATTTGATACACCGAGTCAGAAAGTGATGAAGGGTCACATGACAAAGCCACACCCAACTGATTTCAGCTAAGAATTAAGCTAAAAGCTATGCTGCACTAACAAATCCAAAAGACAACATGAGAAATAAGATGAATATAATTTTCAGGAAGTGTATTTCTGAGAAAGCATGTGAAGGCTGCACTATGAAATAAGACGTAGGAATGAGTGGACACGGGAACAAAATGAAATGGCTTTGGTTTATATTTTCTACATGACTTTGTATACATTCAGAAAAGCCCTTCCTAACTTGTGATTTTTATTTTTTAAATGAAACTGAGTGTTGAAGCTAAACCTTGGTACCTTCCACATAAAACAATGGTTCCCTCAATTGCTTTCCTCAGAGTGAGGACTATAGCTCATCAGTATAACACTGGTTCCTTATGCAAACAGAAAAAGATTGGATCAGTGCATCCCTACACTTAATATATAACCACCTGCAACTGCATCTGCTTACAGTAATGCAATCACCATCATTCTTCCAATGCAGACGTCTGTGCCATTTTCTCACCGTCATAACTCTGACAGGCCACACATGACTGTTTCAGTCTTATCCCCTTATTATGTTTCATTTAAACTGTTTAACCTACATTTATTTGAGCCATGTCCAACATGAACAAATATAAATGCAACTAACAAACAAACAAAACACAGATTTTTGCATTTGTAGGGATTGTTGCAGAATTTTTAAAGGTTTATGCTTCGTCTTGCATTGAAACCAAGGAACAGTGTCTACACTGTGTGTGTGGATAGGTCTTCAGCAGTGATTTACCGACTATTTGGCTTAATATTAATACAAATATATATGTGGATTGAACATTTCCGACCTTTTCAACCGAAACAACAGCAAGACACACACATTCAAATTTTCAATGTATAAGATTAGTAGCATATAAAAACCTTATCAACCAACTTAGCAGCTTAGTAGATGGAGCCACTGCAGCATAATCCCACTGCATAATATTAAACATTAAATGCAGGATTTTATAAAGTAATTGCTATTGAACAGTGCAGTACATTCAGTAATACAGTCAGGTTCTTACCTTGCTCGAGTCTGAACAGAGTTCTCTCTAAATTCTGCTTGTCGTTGAGCATGAGGACTCTAATCTGCTTCAGGTGTTGAGGCAACATACTGGGAGAATCGGTTCAGATTTAGACTGATCCCTGCCCTCCTGTCAGGACAAAAACAGGCAGGTTACTACGTGACCTACCGTGAAACACACTTTCTAACTAAACACAGTGAGAGCCATCTGTCCAATCAGCACCAGCAGGAATCTTAATATTGGAAGTGTATGTGCCATATCAGCATCGCAGTCCAACTGGCCTCAGGTAGCACCAAGTGTAATGGAAAAACCCAAGTTCAAAACTTTGGTTTAATAACTACAAAGTTCTTAAACACTGTATTGACGGAGAGGTGTAGGGTCTTAAAGGCTTGTCTTTGTGCCTGCCGTCCTTAAACTGGCTGATGTTGATGATTAAAAAAAAAAATCTGTTTGTTTTTTCCTCCAGGAAAGATGATTTTATAAAAAGTGTCAACTCAATAAATAAACACTTTTTCCATCTATTCATTGGAAATGCGTCACAGATATACAGCACTCACTGGTATCTTTAAATGGCATCTCGTTTTCCAGTATGCCACTATCAGACTGAAGGGTGAGTTTCTTCATCCCTACTGTGAACTTCTAAAGGTTAAATACAATCAGTGCTTTCAGAGTGTAGTTCCTCACTGCCACTGTGGTCATATTCACATTCAATTTTGTTATTTACCAATAAATTTCAACAGGTATCAAAATCTTTTCCAACAAACAGCAGATAATGTTTCAGTAACTGAAAAGCATGACTGCTAACATATACTACTTTACATTTACTGTGAGTTTGGTTTCAGCACTTTCTAATCTTTGTTTCACCCCATGTTACAAAAGCAGGATCACAGGGATTCCCGGATGGCAAACAGAGAGAAAACCAAGATATCAGCAACAAGTCCTTCAAGTCCCGGGAACGGTGAAGCCTGGGTTCCATGGATCCCACATGTTTAGGGCTGGGTATCGTCACTGATTCCTAGAATCGATTCGAATCGAGGAAATTTTGCCTCAGAAAGTCAGAAATAATATAATTCAGATCAGTACATTTACATATTTTTGTATCTATAAGAAGGAAGCTGACACTTTCCAGACTTTATCAAAGGTGTGAGCATCACAGCGAGGCCTTTGTGTCAAAGTAGCTGAAGATAGAACACAGAAACACATGATTTTCCTGGCCTGGGATTTTATAAAAATATTCTGCAGTACATCAAAAATGAAAGAAAACCATTAATCAGCATATGAACATCACCTCCGAAGTTACAGCGGTTTTATTAGAGACACGGCTAACAGGCATTTTGTATAATTTTAAAAAGTTTACATTTGTTCAGAAGCCTGTTGAACAGCAGAAATTAGGTTTTCTTTTCAGAAGTAAGTAAAAAAAAAACATCGGCCGACAGCCTGTAAACAACGGTAGACTTGTGCGTAACAAGCAAGCGAATAATGCAGGAGAGAGAGAGAGCGCAACAGCAAAAGTCAGAGTGAATTCATGACGATGTTTATGTGAAGCGTAGTTTGGATCTTCTTTTGCTGCTGGTTCAGTCAATATTGTTTGGAGAGAGCTCAGACTAACAGCTTTAGAATCAGCGCAAAAAGGGCGTAAATGCCGACACATCAGAATCAGCGAGCTGTCGGCTTTCACCCGCGACCGTGTCCGTGCCGTCGGTGAGAAAGGCGACATCTCACTGATTCTGCTCCGCGCTGTGTGTTTACGTCTTTGTGCAGAAGCCGTGTTCCTGCTCTCATTCACTGTCTTAGCTGTTTGGTGGTTGTTGAAATTTTGTGACGTTTCACCTGAGATTTTGGAATTTTGGGCAAAATAAATTTATATTAAAAAAAAAATCAATTCAGGATTTTAATGAATTGATATCACGTTATCCAAGCCAGAATCGATTTGAATCGATGAATCGATGATTAAAACCCACCCCTGCACATGTTTTTAAGAGTTGCTTGATCAGGAACAGATTTGGGGAGTTAGGAAGCAAAGTAAACAACTCCCTCCTGTCTCCTGCACATACACAAATCCACTGTTCTGTCTGTACTACTACACACTCAGTAATTAGTCTTGCAGTTAGTGGATGGCACTGCAATAATCATGGTGATTCGGGTTTCCCTGGCAACTGGCATGATGACAACAAAGGGTGATGTGGTTAAAAGGGAAAAACAAACACTTCAGGTAGTGAGTTTATTAAAACCCTCACGTCATACTGGGCTCTTTCTCTGCCACTTTTTTTATTCGTATGAAAGCCATTTCCGCTGTGTTGGGTGTAATATAGCCAAACTTGCCACCGGGTTTCGTTTTTGTAAAAGATTCAAAATTTCAGTCTGATTTTCTTACATGAGCCTAACACGGCTTAGCAGCAAAAATACTCACACTTGTCGCCCTAGGGACCGTTTTCTGCCCCATTGAAACCCATTATAAACGCTATTTTTCACGGCAAAAAAATTACGGACAAATCGATCGTGATAGGTTATGTTTCCGTTTCCGTTTGCAGTGGTGGCCTTAGAGTTGTAATTTTTTTATTTGTCCACCGGGTGGCGCCCTTGCTTCACATTTGACCCCTGCTGGAAAACAGCGGGCTGCTTAGACAGACCTGCAGGGAAAGGAAGACTCAATTCCGGCGTGCAGCAGCGGCTTCGCCCGCTCTTCGGGCGGGGCCATTTTCGGTCCCTAGGGCGATGAGAGGGTGCTTTTTTTTTTAATCAACAGGAAATGATGTATTTGTTGTCACGTGGTACCGGACGTGTGTACTGGAAAAAGGAGTCCGACGCAACATGCCCCGGTCATCGTCGCGAGTTACCCCGGGACGATGCACTTATTTCGGCCTAGAGGAGGAGCATTTGCCGCCTGAAGACCATTTTCTGGTCCTGAAAAAAAAAAAAAAAAGGCAATCGAAATGAAGGTTGGTGCCAATCTTTAGTCCATCTAAAGGCCTAATTATAATAACAATCAAATATTACTTCAAATGTTGTTGTTTTTTAATATTTCGTTTTGTTTTGGGGGGCTAAAAAAAACGGTGCGCTCATGTAATTAAACTGCGATTAAAAGGGTTAAAACCCCCGAAATATAATTAAAACTTTACATGAATATTTCAGGGAGAAGTAGTTTTAAAAGACTGGCTAATTTAAAGTGGAAAAAAAATGAATATATAATCTTTTTATAGCATTTTTCGGGCGTGGCAGAAAAGGGTCCCCAGGGTGAGGAATGTAAGTTTTTTTAAAGTATGACGTTTAAGACATGCTTTAAGCAATCCATTCTTACACAAAGTGAGGAAGTTCAGGCCTCATTTCACATAACATACAGCAAGTAACTACAGTTAGTTTAAAGTGACAACGACTCATGAATTTGGACATCAACTATCCTCGGTGAACTGTGAACCTTGTTTTTTTACACCATAAAAAATATATTTTTAAAAGAATATTTCACAGCACGTCCTACCAATCAGATCTACAGGATAACATACATGTTTAACTGAGTGCAAAATGAAGCCCATTAAACACCCGACAGAGACACTACAGTACGCGGATATAGTGAGTCTTAATATTCCTGCTAGGTTTGAATTCAGGGATTACTGCGATGTAACTGCAAACCTCGCTCTGCACTGACAGGAGCAGGTTAACGCGTCTGAAGTCACTGAACCCCACTGACCTCTCTTCCGAGTCTGCGCAGTGCTTCGAGGTGGCCAGGACAAGGTCAGGAATTCTGCCGTTAATGTCACAGCATCTATTTTTAAAAGCGTCCAGCTCATTCGGTACATTGGGTCCACGCCATTACAAACTCAGAGACATGGACATTTACATCAAGTTAATAAGCATTTGCAACGGAAAAACACGAGTCTGCACAGCTAACGTCCTTCATGTGGCTGCGCTCAGTTTAAAGGCGAGCTCGTTTCTTGTTGCCTCGCTTTGCTGCACAGCACCAGTGTTTAACCATTTCACAGTTCGGCACAGCGTGTCTGAAGAAACACGGTCAACAAAACAGCGGAATCATTGTGTTTCACACGGTGTGACAGCCTGCACACACACACCGTCAGCCAGTAGCACAGCGCGCTGTAGTGGGCGCTGCTGTCAAGCGACAATTTCACTGCGGAAAATAACACAGTAGAGCAATTTGGCCCCAATACTTCAATAATAATCCGCATTTACAAGCTAACGAGGTCAGCGGGGACAGAAGAATGAAAATGCTGTTTACCAGCAAACAGCTGATACTCCGTTTAACCACAGCAGGCTCCAAAAGTGAACAGACAACTGCAACGTGAAAAGAGTCACGTTACAAATAACATCACAACCGTTAGTTAAGCAAACGCCGCTGAGCTAACGTAGCTAGCAACTTGTCTTCCAAGCTAGCATCGTCATCGTCTAACAACACGAGCAAAGGCAAAACGCCGTTCACCTGTCCGTTGTGTGTCCGGGGTCCGTCACAGCAACAGAACAGTTTGTGGTATTTTCCCGGATAGACAGCAGCTGTAGGGAAGGGGCGTGGCTACAGACCGTACAGTTTAGTGCTTTCACCGTAATGATGAGAAAAAACAAGCAATAAACGCGTAAAGCGAATTTTCCGTTTTGAAAGCCCTATTTAACAAAAACAGCACACAAAGATTTGAGCTAAAGTAGAAGTCTGGGTTTGTCTTTATATGTAGCACTGTGCAAAAGCCTTATGTTTTGTTTCCCACAGCCAGCGTCTGCAGCACAACACCGCCTAAACTTGTTAGTTTGAAGTGTTGTGGTGAAGTTTACAGTGTTGGGCTGGTACAAGGCAGGCTGCGGTGTTAATGGCCAGTATTAGGTATTAGACTGGTATTTATGCTGATCTGTCTGTTTTTATCCTGTTGGATTTACCTAATCCACAAAGAGCAGTAAACACAGCGGGTTAGTCTGTATGCAAAGAAGAAAAATATAGAGGAGTTCACATTATACATATTTATATGTTTTATTTTTATTTATTTGCTGCACACCAGCTGTTAGGTTTTCCCCACCCACTAATTCCCAGGTTAACCCCTGGGCACAATGTATCTGCTCCTGTTAACACTGGTGTCTGAGACTGCTGCTGACACTTTTAAGAGATGCTGATAATAAAAGCTTTATTTTGTGGCATGTCTACTTTATTGGGCAGAAGCAGTAGTAGACAGAAGACACAGCAGAGACCTGTGGGACATGACCTGCAGGAAAGAGCCGATACTGGACTCGATCCATGGCCACTGCAAAAACAATATGTGGTACATGTTCTACCAGCTGTTGGTATTGTTATTTGGAACATTTGCAATGAAAAGAGTGAAAGAGTTTATGCTTCTTTAACTTAGGAGCATGTATGTCCCTCTGTCTTCTTTCATCTCTTGTCTCACCTTCACTTCTCACTGGGTTTGCCAGTAGTTAACATTTATTTTGTCATATCTACCCTTCGGATCAGGTACTAGTCTTGTCAAGGATAAATAGATGTAAGTGGTTGAATTGAGTTCAGTGTATGATAATGTAATAACAGATCTTTAGGTTTATCTGCTTTTGTAAGCACTGTGTAGCCATTTCATGCTCAGTTTATGCATCTAATGAGATTTACACAGTGCCAGTGTTGTCCATTATAGTCCCTTTATCCAACTGTCTTGGGCCTTTTCGGTCACCTACTATATTAAAGATATATTAGTCTTTAATGGAGACTTAATGGAGCAGCTTTGTCCACTTACTACAGATCCACAGGTTGTGCTGGGGGCATTGCAACTGTTCATGAGAATCACCTCCGTCCTGTCTTTTTTCTGCTTCAATTTCTAACAAACATTTACAGTGGTGTGAAAAAGTGTTTGCCCCCTTCCTGATTTCATATTTTGTTTGTATGTTTGTCACACTTCAATGTTTCAGATCATCAAAAATTTGAATATTAGACAAAGATAACAGAAGTCAACACAAAATGCAGCTTCTAAATGAAGGTTTTTATTATTAAGGGGGAAAAAAATCCAAACTTACATGACCCTGTGTGAAAAAGTGAAACCAGTTCATCAGAAATTCTGCTCCCAAATGAACAAAATGAACATAAGAAATACACAGTACATATAGTTATAATTATAGAAGTTATAGTATATTATACTGTATATAAATGTACCTGTCCACTTGTTAGTTACATACTCACGTGGAGTACGTGGAGGCAGGGACCTCGCAGAGGAAGCATTACTCCCAACCTATCATAAGATTGTGTTGTACATTGTTATATATAGTTTTTTTTTATTAATAAAAACATCAAGAAGTCACAAACAACAGTAGAACACACCATGGTACATGATTAAACAAGGAAGGCTTATTCATCAAAATTATTTATTATTAAAATAGACATAACATCATTTTTTCACCCCAAAAAACACATGTTCAAAACACCAGCCAGATACCAGACAAGCTGTCACATGATATCAAACAGAAGCTGTCAACTCAGCTCTGTGGGCAATCATAATGAAGCAGTTCATTAGAAGTTGTAGATTTAAGCTGCTCTTCATACCTTTGGCCACCAGATGTCACCAAAGAGGCTTGTGTTGAAAAGCTTGGCGTAATGAACCGCTTTTCTCTACAAACGTCAGTGTTTCAGCCTCATTTGGCCATCACTGCGGTAAACTAAAAACCTTTATTGCACTGTAGCAAATATACTAAAGAAAAAACAACAACAACAGGAAACAGTAACAGAAATCTGGAAACTAGCAACTATGGATATAACACACACACAGAACAATAAGTAGAACCAAGACCAAGAATAACAACAAATCAAAGACTATAACTTCAACCAGAATCATACTGGGTCACAGACCCAGTAGACCCAGTAGTCGTAGTCGCTCAGCAGGATCGTTGATATGATGGAAGCACACAGGTGGTATCAGATCAGACGCTATCTGTAATTGGATGCATCAAATTTTCCGTTATAACTTATGACATGTTTATTTATAAGGTTAACCATTATGCTAGGAACATTAAAAGTCTTGGGTTTTTTTTCCTCATCAGCATCATGTGTCTAGATTGCTGTTCGTGGTTTCAGTGTTGTTTCTTGCAGTTTTGATGAACATTTGAAAATTAATATTAACACAGATATTTTGTGCATTCTTTTCTAGGAGGGTTGTAGTGACCTGTGTATTAAAAAAAGGAAAAATTCTATCCATTCAGGACTTATATGTGGTCTAAATGAAACTTTGTTTGAGGGATGTGACAAATATGAAAGATTTGTTTAACTGAGATGGAAATACCACAACATACAATAATACAATTATAATAACAATAGCAACATGTGTTTTTAACCAGCATATTATAGCATAATGCTAAAGTATTTTACTTATTTTACTGTAGTTTTTTTTCATTTTGCTCTCTCTCTATCTGTTTGAGTGTTGGTGTTGTGTTTCAGGGACAGGTGCTCCTCTGGTTTCCCACCCTTGAATTCAGCATAACTACAAACACATCTGTTGGTAATGACCTGATTCCTACTGTCTTCATACCTGCCTCTTGCTTTATTTTGCTCTGCTCTTATCTTACTTTCTTTTCTCACCTGTGCAGAAAACCTCAGAAGCAGAATCTGACTGAGCTGTAGGAGAGAGATTCCCGAGAGGAGATCATACTGTGCATGTGTCTGTGGGAGCCCGGGCCTTGCTAACTCAAACTTCCTAAATGCACCTTTAACTATTGCACATAAACGTGATGAACTTTTCTTCCACACTAAGCCCATACTGGTTATGACAGAACAATTAGGTCAGAAAATGACCTCTGCAGAGTGCTCGCTGTGTAAGTCTGTGAAGGTTCTCAGTCATCCAGGTCATCGTAGTCAAAGGTGAAACGTCTTCAAGTAACTTAAAGAAGTCCAGACGCTTTTCTTTGCAAGGTCCTTTGGCTCGCTCTGTAAGAACACCAGCTAAAATATGCGCCGTCACAGCTGTAGACAATAGGATGTAATTGGAGGTATGTTAATATCGTCAGCTGCAGTCAGTACCCAGCCTCAGCTTTTGTTTGCGACCACCTGAACATCTAGGGAGAGCTCGTCCCACTCCAGAAGTACTCAGTGGTGAGTTGGATGAAGGTGGAGGATTCTCAGTGTTTTTGGTGTTTAGACAACAGAATCAAACCTATGTTCCATATAGTGCAAAGACTGCTTTCCTGGTGGTGTTGTTGCGTGGACATGCTTTGAGGTGGGTAGCTTCACTACCAGGTCCTTTCTCTGTCCATGTGCTCACCTGACTTCGATCCCGAGTAAAATTCCCAGATGGCAGCCTGGCTGCTAAATTAAACATCCCATTGGAGGATTTACGTGGACCCTTACAGGTTTCAGCACCTTCTTGGTATCGCTCACAGAACACAGTCTCTCTCTCTCTCTTTGTCTGTTAATCACTCATATCAGTGATGCTCACACCTTTGATAAAGTCTGGAAAGTGTCAGCTTCCTTTTTATAGATACAAAAATATGTAAATGTACTGATCTGAATGATATTATTTCTGACTTTCTGAGGCAAAATTTCCCAGATTCAAATTGAATTGAATTGAATTGAATTGAATTGAATCGAATCGTGGAGCGAATCGATTCAGGACCTTTTGAATCGGAATCGAATCGATTCTAGAAATCAGTGACGATACTCAGCCCTATTCAGCTTTCTTCAAGGCTTCACGGGTTTGGGTCCACACATTCCGGCAACGCTGGAGATGGTGTTGGACCGAGGGCACAGCCAAATCAGCCTCTTCGGTAGGAAACAGTGGAGGTTGGTAACCTAGGGAAGCTTCGAAAGGGGAAAGACCCGTTGAAGCTGAGACATGAGAATTGTGTACATAGTGGACCCATGGTAGGTGTGCAGCCCAGGTAGCCGGGTTATGGTTGGTGACACAGCAAAGGGCAGCCTCCAATTCTTGGTTGAGTCTCTCTGTTTGACCATTTGTTTGCGGGTGGTAACCGGAGCTGAGATTGA